AATTATATATACACATATATATATATACATATACATATATTTATATGTATATGTATGTATATATATATATATACATACATATACATATACATATATATACATATATATATATATATACATATATATATATATATATGTCAGTGATTTAAAAAGCGCTAGGCGCCAAAAGGTACCAACGTCTAAAAACGCCCAAGGCGCTAGAATATAAAAATATATAATATAATTAATAAATATAATTATTTAAATAAAAATTATGCTATTAAATTAAGAAAATTGGGTACAAAATCATAATAAATAAATAAATAAATCATAATAGTATATTTTTATTTTTTTTAATAAAAAATATTATTAAATATATAAAAAGTAATAGTATAAAATAATATATTATTAATCTAATAAATAAAAATACTATTATTAGTATACTGTTAGCAGTATACTATTAATATATTGTTAACAGTATAGTGAGAAGAGTGTGAGAAGACCGAGACTGCTGAGGCAACGACAACGGTACCAAGCAACAATCGTAGCTGGAGCAGGAGTGGGAGCGGCAAGCAGCAGCGACAGCGGGAGTGGCGAGTGACAGCGGGAGTGGGAGCTACGACCGGTAGCGGGAGCGGCGACAACAGCGACGAGCGACGACAGCAGCGACGAGCAGCGATTGTGCTAGCGGCGAGCAGCAACAGTAGCGACGAGCAGCGACAGTGGCAGCGGCAGCAGAGAGCAGCGATGGCGGAGAAGAAATCTCGGCAGCAAAATCGCATGTTAGGGTTGGGGAAGTCGGGGAAATCATGAGAGGGTGCTTGATATCGGTGATTTAGTTGATTCGATTGAACCAACTAAAGCATTGGAGACCAACCAGACCTAAAAATCTGGTCTGGTCGCCTGGTTTAACCCAGGCGCTCGCCCGAAGCGCCCGACGCTTGGGCTCGGGCGAGCGCCCAGGCGGCACCTCTTTGAAGCGAGGCGCCTGGACATAAAGCAAGGCGCTCGGGCCTCGCCTCGCCTCGCCCGAGCACCTAGGCAAGCGCCCGAGCGACTAGGCGAGCGCCCGAGCGCCTATTGAAATCATTGATACCTATATCGTCCGGTAACGGGTGGTCCGTGTACCGATCAGCTGACGGACCGATACGTACCGCACGATACGGGCGGTATTATTCAAAACTACATACCTTGTATATATATATATATATATATATATATATATTTATTTATTTATTTATAAATAAAAAATATCACCCGGTAGTGAGCTGTCTGCGTACTAGTTTACTGTCAGACTGATATGTACCGCCCATATCGGGCGATATCATTCGAAACTGTATACTTTGATTCATATAGCCTGCCATTTAACAGTATTGTTGAGCATACAAACTGAAACCAACTGAATGATGGTCAATCCAGTCATTTGAATGCACAGGGCATAATAATGCAAAAATGCTTTTACCTACCTTAAGAAAGGACATCAGGTTGAAAAGGAAATATAGGACAGAATTGGCCCAACAAGATGTAATTCTGATTCCAGTGACAATTATAGAAAACATATTAGTATGCAATGTAGACAAACGTCCGACTGATGATAGCCAAATGGGTGGGACGACATTATAAACACAAGTAAAACAAGAGAGAATCTAGTGAATGGTTAAGTGCTCTTACATCCTTGTAGATGGGGCTTTCTGTGAATATCTTGAAGGCTTCAACTGCACAACACCAAAGCACAATGAAACATCAACTAGTAGCCATTACCAAAGTCATCATCACATCTGTCTGAGAGTGGTTTATAGACCCTGTTCACTAAATCCATCACTGAGCAGGCACCTTCACCAAGCATGTCTATTTTCAAAGAATATGAGCAATAGATATTAGTACACTTACATGATGGAAATCGCATCACTGCAGCATGAGTGTATTCACTATCTGCAACATTGAGATTGCAACCTGGTTTATCATTATACCAAAAGTGTAAGATATATTTGCTTCATCACAGTTAAAATGTTTCACAATTTTCACAATATAAAGTTAAAAGGAAGAAGCATCTGATAATTATTGCATTTTTTTTACTGACAATATTATGTCTAAAACAATTTAAATTATTGTTCAAATCAAGTTGTCATCTAAAACAGAAGCCAGGCACTTCTTCAAGCTAATTGTGTTTCATTGGAAAAATAATGTAAATGTAAATGTAATCATTCATATAAACTGCTGTTCCCTTCATTCTTAGATTTTGGAACTGATCGGTCTTTATCAAGCCAAATCCAAATGAGTTTTATTTGAGCAAAAAAGCTGATTCTTGAGGCCATCCACCAGGGGCCAGACCAGAACCAAAGGGTACGGTCCACCCAAGACACATCAGAAACTTCACACCTAGTAAGTTTTTAATGAATGTCAAGGAAGGTTTTAATGAATGTTCTGTAACTGATCAGGACAGAACCTTTTAAAAGATATGAAAGTCTTCATCTTTGTAAGAAGTATATATAACCTTATATGACCTCACAATAGAAGCAAGAGGAAAGAGGATAAGAATCATAGAGCCTCAGATAATATTATATAATATGCACGCAAACACACAAGTTATCTAAAACCACTGACAATTAAGTCTTAAAACCAAGGTTCACAATACTATACCGTACCAATATTTCGACCTGGGCTCGGTATCGGTACGGTACGGTACGGTATACCAAGCAGTACACCCAGGTGTACCGAGTACTGTAGCACTGCTACAGTGCTACAGTGCACTCGGACCGGTAATAGGCGGTCCGCGTACCGGCAACCTGTCCAACCGGTACGTACTGCCCGTACCGGGCGGTACAGTTCGGTACTGCAGACCCTGCTTAAAACCATGGTGAAGCTTGTCAAACTAGCTTCACTCCAAAAAGACAAAATACATCTAGTACCAAAGAGTTGACCAAAAATTTTGTTAGTCCAAAGTAAAAAAACAATGATTTGGCCTATAGCCTGCCAATGTTGGTCCCAAGTCCGGACGAAAAGTTAGAGGGTTGCATTAGGTCACTAACAACCAACACAAAGCTATTTTCAGATCTCATAAACGTGGATCATAACTGATTTCAGTATAGAGCTAGGTTGTCATACTGAAGTGACGCCACCTTCACCACCTAGGTGTTCCAAATTGAAAACGGTGGGCTAGGAGGTCGCCCAGAAGCGACCTATCACATCGACGCCCGGATATGGTGCTAAGTAGGCAAGGATTCTCTCATTGTTCTGGACCAATAAGAGTAAAGAAATTAGTCCAAGAATAGAGGGTTAGGTTTGCAACTTGGAATATAGAAACACTTTCAGGGAAGAGATTATAATTGACAAACATTATAATCAAAAGAAGAATAAATATTACTTGCTTACAAGAGACTAAGTAGGTATGGAAAAAAGTCTAGAGATGTAAAATTTGATATATTTAGAAAGTTAAACACAATATAGTGCAGGAATTATTGTTGATAAGGATATTAAAAACAATGTTGTAGATGTAAAAAGATTTAGAGATAGAATTATGGTTTTAAAATTTATGAAAGGATAAAATGTTTTGAATGTCATTAGTGCTTATGCACCTCAAGTCGGATTAGATGATTAAATCAAAAGGAAATTTTGGAAAGCTTAGATGATATCATTCAAGGAATGTCTATAATAAAAAAAACTTATAATTGGAGAAAATTTTAATAGTCATATAGGAAAAACATATAATGAGTATAAAGGGGTGCATAGGGGCTTTGGTTATGAGGAGAGAAATGAAGATAGTGGTATGATTTTAAATTTTGCAACTTCGTATGATCTTATAATTGTAACTACTCACTTTAAGAAGAGAGAGAGATATTTAATTACTTATAAGAGTGGTCACAACTGTAATCAAATAGACTTTTTTCTCATTAGAAAGATAGATAAAATTATTTATAAGAATTGCAAAGTTGTACCTGGTGAAGGTTTAACGAATCAATTTATGTTGGTGATATTAGAAAATGGAAGAAGAAAAAGATAGTAGAAAAAATTACTAAGACTAGATACTAAAATTTTAAAGATGATAACTAATAAGATTAAGAGCTTAGCAAAGGAGATTCTTGGTGAAACTACAAGTAGAGATGTACTCTTAAGAGAGAGTTGGTGGTGGTGCGAGGAAGTTCAAAAAATAACTTTTACTAAAAGATCATGTTTTGAAGTTGAAAAATTATAAAAATAAAAAAATTTAAAAGTTATAAAGAATATAAAAAAGAGACTAAAAGATAATTATCATAATAAAATATATAGCTTATGATAATTTTTATAATAAATTAGATACTAAAGATGATGAAAAAGATATATATTGAATTGCTAAAGCTAAAAAAAGAAAGTGTAAGGATTTAGGAAATATTAGGTGCATTAAGGATGAAGATCAAAGAATGTGTATAAATGATAACGAGATTTAGAAAAGATGAAAAACAATATTTTTATAAATTATTTAATGAATATTCCACACAGGACTTAGATTTAATGATAAATAATAGTAGTAGATTTAATAATCAAAGATGTATTCATAAAATTAAAGCTAATGAAGTAAACGATGCATTAAAGAAGATGAAAATAGCTAAGAGTGTGAGGCTTGATGGTATCCCTCTTCAGGCTAAGAAAAGCTTAAGGGACAAAGAAGTAGCTTAATTACCAAGCTTATTTAACAAAATCACAAGATTTGGGAGGATGCCTAATGAATTGAGAAAGAGTTTTTTAGTGTCATTTACAAAAAAAAGGGTGACATACAAAATTATTCAAATTAAAGAGGAATTAAAATCATGAGTCATACTATGAAACTTCGGAAAAGAATTATTGAAAGTAGGATAAGACTTGAAACAAATATCTCTAAAATTCAAATTAGTTTTATGCTTGGAAGATTAACCATAGAAGTTATTTATTTATTAAGACAATAATGGAAAAGCATAAGGAGAAAAAGAAAGATTTACATATGATTTTTATTGACTTAGAGAAAGCCTATGGGTTCCTAGAGATTTATTATGATAGGTTTTAGAAAAGAACGGTGTATCCACTAATTATATTAATGTTATTAAAGATATGTATAATAATATAACTATTAGTATTAGAACTACAAGTAATGTGTCTAGTGAGTTTCCTATTAGCATATGATTATACTAAGGATCCACAAGTCTCTATCTTTTTACATTACTAATGGATGAACTTACTAGTTACTTACATAATAGACCTTCCTAATGTATATTATTTGTTAAAAATATTATTTTAGTTGATGAGAGTCTAAGTGAAATTAATTATAAACTTGACTTATAGAGGCAAGCTTTAGAAACTAAAAGTTTTAGGCTATATAGGACTAAAACTGAATATATAAAATGTAATCTTAGTAAGTCTTGAAATAGGCAAGAGAATATAGTTAAATTGGATGAACAATAAGTTTCTCTGAGTAAAAACTTTAGGTATCTTGAATTAATTATTTAACAAGATGGAGAGATCGATGAAAATATTATTTATAGAGTAAAAACAGGGTAGATTAAATGGCGAGGGGCATTAAGAATCTTATGTGATCATCGGATACCTTTGAGATTAAAAGAAAAATTTTGTAAAACAGTTGTGAGACCAACAATACTTTATGGATTTGAGTGCTGGGTGGTTAAGAAAAAAATATATACAAAAATTTTATGTTGCTGAGATGAGAATGATGAGATAGATGTGTAGAGTTACTAAGAAAGATAGGAAAAGAAATACTATTATTCATAAACAACTAAGAATTGATTTAATAAAGGATAAAATGAGAGAAAATCATTCAAGATAGTACGGGCATGTGATGGGAGACCTCCGAATGCGGTAGCTAAAAGAGGTAAAATAATTAATGTCAATGATATGAGGAGAGATAGCGGAAAATCTAAAAAGATTTTAATAGAAACTATAAATAAAGATTGAAGTACTTTAAACATAACTAAACATATGACTATTTACAGATCTCAATGGTGGCAAAGGAACCATGTAACCAACCCCAAATAGTTGTAACTTACGACTTTATCGTTATTGTTGTTGTGGTATTTAGCCTATAGCATGTCTACCTAATTAGCAGCACCTAATCACTAAAATAAGTAATGGTGGCCAAGATCACAACACAAAATGACTGGAACACCAAGGTAGAATGCAGAAAGAAAGCATGTAAATTGAAAATTAAACATACCTTGTGTTGCCTGTACAATGTCTGAACCAAAATCCAGAGTCAAGTTCCATAGACTAGCTAATGCATCTTCTACAGCATGTTCTGGTGCAGTCTTGGAAATGGATATCAGAAGCATGCACTCAACACCATAGTTGAACTCCTAATAAATCATACAAAGCAAGAATGTTTCCAGGTACCACTACAAAAGACTTGTCAAATAGTATGTAATGCTGGAAGTAAATTAATTGAGAACTGCTAGATGATAAATCTGAACTATGGGTACTTTATGACATTTTACAACCATAATTCAACAGTTATAAAATTCAACTGCAAGTAGTTTCACAAGTGTCCTAGAACAGTTGATAGTTCTTCACAAGTGTGAAGATGAACATACAGAATACAATCATTAAAAACAAATATCTGTTCCTGAACAAATCCATCAATATTGAGATAACTAATGAAGGATAATAATATCAATATTTGCCTAGTCATAGATTTTATATTGAAATTGTTCCAAGATAAGATCTGAAAATTTGTTATCAAATGTTTTAATAACTTGTGCTGCAGTACCTGCCATACAGCCTCCAACTATATTAAGTCCAGAACATCCACTTACAAGTATTAACGAGGAATATCACAAATATGTATCAACCATCAATCACTTTAGTCTTCAAGTAATGCTAGGCCATAGAAATTAGTTATGCATTATTATCTGTGACATACCAACCCATAACTTGAGTAAGGTTGGATGTTTATTTTGGTTGTGCTATGGTCATATGGATGTATGTAATCCATCTCAGATAGAGCAATCAAAGATTTTACTTTTTCACATGGTGTCAGGCCATGACTTGAGTGAGACCAAGCCATAGTCCATAGGACTAATTCCTAACAATTCAAATAATCAAAGCCTAACATTCCTATTCTGGGAGGTTACAATTGTACCAGAAAAAGGTTATGAAAGTGGTTCCTAGATTCCAAAGTAATCCCAGGGATTTATAGATTATCAATAACTTTCCATCTTTAGATGTTTGAAAGTTGAAACAATCAATAATATTCCACAAATTAATTTTCCATGCTTCTTTTAATAATTACGGTTTTGTTGTTGTAGCCTTATGCTTCTTTTGATCTGCTACACAAATTGCTTGATCTTAGATGAATTATAAGAGGTCTTCCCGCTGATCAATGATATTAAGCTGCAATTTATATCACAATCCAATGATTGGAATTATCCTGGCTATCCTTTCTCTTGAATAAAATTTTTGTATTGCTATGAAAGTGTATAAATTTAGAACCACAAATTATACAAATTTATTCCTTACTCTTACAAAATCAATGCTTTTTAATTGCAAGCCAAAGCTATGAAACCCAACATTTCTGTCTTCTGATGTACACCTCTTGTGTTTCTAGTTTCCAAACTAAAATAAATCTAAAAACTGGACTGAATGCCCAAAACCTTGAATCATCAGTTATTGTTTAGAATTTATCCCTTCAATGCAGGAATGCATGCCATTCATTCACAACATTCTGTAGAAACTGTTTAACCTTCAATTCTCACTTATTTGACCTCTTGCTAATAACCTGATCTGAGTCTAAATTGCATCAAGTCTAAATCATCAATATCCAAGTAACCTACTTCCCACTGCAATCCTTCCATTTCATTAATCTCTCACAACGTAATAACATGTTTACTATGAGAAGTAACTAAATTTCAAGAAAGCCATTATAACTCTCATCCGGATAGTTCTGGAGGTACTTCATGACATGCTATAGCTTTTGCATATCAAATCCTGACTAAACTGAGCCAAGAAAATGTTCCTGTTGTGATTGTCAATAGCTTCACCAGATATCATTTTTCATAACCAAATAGCTTTTGTCATTATGCTTACAGCTCAAAAATAGCACATAACTACTACCTTAAATATATATAATCCAACAAGATCAAACAGTTTGAGCAGGTAAATGATTTACACAACTTCAAGTTCACCTAACCTCTCCCCTCCGGAATATGGGAATGATATCATCCTCTACTTCAGATTCATAATCGACAGAAATTGATCCCTACAACAGCCAAAGAATTATAAGTGTTACTAGTAGTAGCTTCAAAATACAAGTACTTTCATGATAGTCAATATTGATTTAAAGAAAAATGAAATAGGAAATGGAAAGGTGATTACATGTTAGGGCATACATAGCAATATGGAGTGACATGTTCCTTAAGAATTCTGGAATAGTAGGAATTTGAGTAAAATTTGGCAAGATCTTCTTTTCTTTGGAAACGCATGTATACTGCATGAGTAAAATTATCAAGATTTGGGCACTCTATACGACCTGCAATGAAAGAGACTATAAGTCACCATGGTTATGTTTTACAGACCTCTCTTATGATTGTTGTACATGAGAAGGAAATGGTATGCTTTTACCAAGAAAAAAAGAATTTGCACTATACTTGATAGAACAATATCATCAAGCTGATCTAATGGTTCCCCACCTATTTTTTAATTATTTATGAAAAGAAATAAAGAACTCCATAACTAATTACATTACTATCCAAAGAGATCCAAAATATCTACTTAAGAGCCCTTGTGGTCTTCCAGTCATGTGATAACTAATGGAAAGACGTGATTAAACATTCCACACCAATGAAATAACTTTTGCTCTTTGAAATTCTTTCTACAGCTGAAAGTCTTTTTCTTACCTTGTCAGTTCCTCTACACCACATCAACAAAAAAATGATGCATACAATTTTGACAAGATAAAGCTTCTAAATATTGTGTTTGTGTTGGAGCTACCATATTGATCATCCTCAAAGTGAGTGACACTGAAGTCACTACTAATTAACAGGAGAAATTAATATTCTCATGGTTCAGTCTAATTTTTTTGACAAATAAATTTAAAGAAAAAATAAGGAATCAATCAACATTCTTTGGTAATGCCACATCACGAATGTTATAGGCTACAAAAAAAAAGAACAAAAATTACAAGTAACCAGCACATGAAATAGAAAAGAACTATCAGATGTCACCAATAGTAGAAACAAACACAGGTCTGAGCATGGTAGTAATAAAAAATACATATGGAATTAAGACAACATTTAACAAGGGAAGCATCAGAAGTCTGACCTAATGATATTGCAATTATTCCACTCATCTGATATTGAGATGTGTAGAGATAATCAAGCATGTCCTTTTCCTCAACATCAGATAAATTTTCCTTTGCTCTCAATAGAAGAATATGCTCGACGATATTTCTGTAGAAGTTAATAAATTACATGCTTCATGCATTTAAAATCTCTCTAAAGCATAAAAAAGTTATATTTCTACCATTAGAAAGCTGAAAGTAATAGGCACAGGCACAGGCACAGGCACTACATCTTAAGGCTCAATGTTTAAAACCCAGATACATTTTCTGGATGCCTTAGAAGCAAACACATTTTAAAAGGATATGACAGTAAACTTATTGATTTAATTTTTCCTACAAAGATACTCTACTCAAGCATCCAGAAACCACAGGATTTGTAATATTTAATTATTAAATTAAATAAATCAAGTGCAGCTTTAGTATTTTGAGAAAAAAAAAGAGGAATGCAACTATAGTACTAAAACAGATGGACAAGAAATTTTCGAGAGCAAAATTTTCTCCATTCTTAGAATCGTTGTTCAACAGAACAATGAGACTGAAGAAGATATAATATGAAGAGTCAGAAGGGGATGATCAGAGTGGAGAGAGGTTGGAGTGTTTGTGATCACTGTTTGCTTTTTTTATTATAAAAACAGTGTAGACAAATATTTAAATTTTGGGCAGCAAGAAACAAATATATCTTAAGTGGATTGTATTGCAAAGACAAAGATGCTAAGATGGAAATGGAGGATTATCTGGAAAGAAAGACAAAAATTGAATTCATGAAGAATTAGAGGAAGTGCCAACCAAAACTAAAATGAGGGAAATTAGTTCAAAGGAGACATAACAGCATTGGTGAGGCAAGCCAACAAGAAAGACAAAAATTGAATTCATGAAGAATTGGAGGAAGTGCCAACCAGAACTCAAACGAGAGAAATTAGTTCAAAGGAGACATAACAGCATTGGTGAGGCAAGCCAACAAATCAATTCATATTAATGGTGTAAAAGAGGTTGAGGAGGGTTTAGGATGCTTAAATAGGAAAAAAAAGAAAGAAATGTTCGGTTAGTTGGTAGCAAGGATTGAAATATCGTACTGCACCAGAGTTTCGAGATTCGCTCGGTACGGTACTATATATTGAGCGATATACCGCTCAGTATATATATATATATATATATATATATATATAATATAATATATATATAAGTAAAAAAAGTCTTTTATATATATATATTTATATATAAAAGTAAAAAAAAATTGCGATGTTGCCAAGAAAAACAAGGCTACATCGCCTTTATATATATATATATATATATATATATATACCGGACAGTATTATTAGAAATTGAAGACCTCGGTTGTTAGTGATATTGCTCACAAAAAGGACACTGGCATAGAAAAACTAAGAAAGAATCTGGTGTATGTTAGTTCAATAGAGATAATGCACTTAATAAAACTTAATGGCGAAGAAAGAACCATGCACAGCTAGTTGTCGTGATCACCATTGTTGTTATTGTTGATGCTATACTATGTTCAAGAGAAACAAAATTATCATACATCATGATGATCCAGAGCAGCACGTGTTTTCTAAATGCCACTGAAATTACACAAGAATTTTGCAATCTTGATTCAACTGTGACCATGACAATTGATGTAATTTTACAGGAAGGGATTTAACATTGACACATAAGCTCCCCCCTGGCTAACAATATAGAACCAACAAATTCAAGAACTTTGCTATATTTTCTAGATCCCGATTGTTATTAATAATTTTGGCAAGCCAGAAAAGGTTAAAGAAAAAAGGATTTATTCATCCTGCTACACAGCATCTTGTAAATTCATGATGTTTTCATCTTCCTATTTACCTGGAATTCATTTACAAATATATTTATAGATTGCTTTCTTCTAGTGAGATATCTCATATTTACCTTCGCAAGTCAAATCTGATCATTGTATGAAGCTTGCTTAACAACAAACATAGCTCATAAGTTTAAACTAATACTATCTCAACCGATTTAGAGATGAGCTAAAGGTGCAGATGCTGATGATCAAGTTTACGATATCATGTTTAAGGACCTGAGCTCAAGAAGATATCAGTACTGCTCCAAGTCTAACCCAACCGGGCCATAACCAGGTTCCACCTTTCAATCCGACAAAATGTAGAGGACAGTAATCATGATAGAAAATAAAAGAACACGATCCCTTAGAAAATCAAGAATTTATCTAAAGGAAGAAGTACGAAATAACGAACCTCTTCTTAACGTATCCATCCACCGACGTACCATTACCGGAATCCAAATCATCACTGAGCGAAAAATATATTATACCATTATTCCACCGCTTAGAGCTCACTCTCGAACCCACAGGCGACCTCAACACTGCACGAGGTTCAAATTGTAAAAGACTACAGACAGTGGGACGAGAGAATCTCGATCGATAGAGCAGACTCACCGTTGATGGATCTTCCCCAGGTACGCAGTCCAAGAAATCGAGCACAAGAGAGGAAGAAACCACTGGGGGAGATCGATGCTAGGGTTCGATGTAGAGGATACACGAGGAGGGTTGGGGTACACAGAGCCATTCTTGGCGATGGAGCGATGTCCTTCGCAGGCTCAAGAGCGGGATTTTTATTGCAGATCGGCGGTGGGTAGGGCGGCAACGGGTGGACGGGAGAACGGTGTCCTAAATTACTCGACAGCCCCTACCTAGTCGATAATTTACGCGAGTAGACGCGGAACGAAGACAATAAGATATAAATCGGTGGGGACAGAACGGTCCACAAAGACCGATTGATATATAACGGTCCTTCCCCCTCTTTGTTTTCCTATTTTATACAATAATCGTTTCCTCCTCTCAATTTCCGGATTCCATCCGATCGGATTCAAATATCATCTGATCAAGTTCGAAACGAACTTAAATTGAAATTAATTATATGATTTAGATTTAAGTTTGATTATCTTGGTAATTAGTCAGTTCTCGATTTTAATAAAGGTAAAATAAAATATTTCGGATTAGATTAAGATGGAGTAAAATTTATGGAAAGATTATCTATTATTATTTTTTATTAAATTTGTGGATTAGATTAACTTTTCATATATTTATAATCTAATGTTCATCTTAACTATTATATTTTATTTATATTTATCTCGAGCTTATTCAATGACGGGAACGAATTCATGTAACTGATCTTAAATATTATCTTGAATAGTTGATTTGCTCTTACTGTTGTGTTTATTTCAAACTTTTATTTACTTAAGTTCATTTACGGGTGGAGTTAAGAACGCGAGCATCACTATCGGGTCCCGCAGTGGGTCCCACGCCGTTTATCCAGTCGCCACAAACGTAAGACGGCCACTGGGGTTGGAAAATTTTACGCATCCTTTCCACCTCTATCATATCGCCAGAGATCTCTACAGTGAAAAAAGAAAGAACACTAGAAAAATTATAGACCGTCGGATCTTATCTTGTCACCGCCCAGACGCGGCCACGAAGCCAGTGGCACGAATCGCGAGGAGAACCGGAGTCCAACACGTGAGACTTGAGCCCGTATCTCGGAGGCTCCCTATCAACTCGAGCGTCCTTGGCCGGGGGACAAACCACACGGGAGGTCAAAGAGAAGAGGTAAGCTCAAGAAGGAGTGCACAAGACGATCCCGGCGATTTCAGATCGGAGCAACCGTGGTGGTGGATTTTCGAGATGGCGGCGGAGAGTCGCCCCGACTGGCTGCCGGAGGGGTGGACGGCGGTGGCGAAGACCACCAGGAGCGGAGCGGTGCTTTGGGTAAATCCAAACGATCCTTTTAGTCTCTGCTCCATTTCTTTTCCTGTTTAATGTTCGCTTTTTTCTTTGTGTAGAATTTGTTTCTTGCTTTGGATTCCGGGTTCTGATGTAGATCAAAACGCGGTAGACTTGATTGGCTCTATCTTCTTTATGCATGACCGTCAGCATTTTTATTTATCTTGGTTGATAGCTGCTTTGTGGATTTGGAGAGTGTGCATGAAAGAAGAGCAGTAAGCAGAGAAAAAGGAAAATTTTGGTAACTGGTGATTTTAAATGTATCTTGATCAGTTAGGGCAAAGGAGATGGGAGTTTGAAAGAGGTGCAGATGCTTTGGCCTAACTTTAAATGACTCGCTTTTGTTGCGTGGTCCTACGAGATAACCAAGTTGTTCTATGAATTCTTTTGGTTGAGGAAAAGATCGACAAAAAAACAATTTGAACTAGGAATTTGTGTTTATTTCTACAAGTCATAATTCAATAGGGCCAAAATGATTGAAACTTATATTAATACTATTTAGTGATAGAAGGGTCGTTTCTTGTGGTAATGAAAAGAATAATAGTGTCCCTGAAGTAGAAATAAGTGAGCCCTCAGATTTTCTTGAAGTGCAACAGAAAATTCTATTCTGTTATAAAATTCAATTTTTGTATCCATATGCATGATCAAGAAGCAAATGACCCATGATTAATTCTTTATACCTAATTTCTGTATGTTTCATATTTGTAAATGTGCTAAACTTAAGTAGGTAAAACCATAAAAAAATTGAAGAAAAAACTAAAATAGTTTCTTCCTTTTAATTTGATGAGGTGTAGCTTAATCATAGATATTGCAACTTTGTCGGCTTGTTTATTTTCATTTCCGGTGAATTCCATGATTTGTTCACTTGGAAAGTTTAGATGACGAATTTATAAGGGAACTTTCTGAGCATTTTTGGATACTGAAGTATGCTATGTATTATGTATTGCCATTCTACTGAGAGTGATAATGCAAGTTGGAGGGAGCTTGGAACAGATTATAGTTGAATTTTCTTTTCTTTGTTTTTTTTTGGGTAAATAAGACATGCAAGTTGAAGGAAACTTGGAGTAGATGATAAGTTGTTTTCTTCTGGTAAGCAACAAATGCATTTTATTCAACATCAAAAGAATCTACCATCATAATCTCAAGTCAGTTTCCATCTACCTAAGAAGATTGTGAAAGAGGTGGAATGCTATGCAGGAAATACTTATGGGGAAGCCCTGACTGCAGATAATGCATGTCTGACTGAGTAGAAACAAGCACACAAGCCTTATGGTGACACGGATTTGGCATAAAATTTATCCTGGAATTGAAAATGAATCAGCAATGAAAAGTATATGAAACCTTTTTTCAGATTTGTGTATCCATAATATGAAATTGATATATGCAAACAATTGGAATCACAACCAACAGAGCATTCAAGTTGTGTTTGGAAGAAAATTGTAGAAGTCAGGGAAGCATCAAGGGAGCTCAGGATTTATAAAATGGGAAATGGCAAATTTATTTTTCCTATTTTTGGGATGGTACATGTTACCTGATGGAACTCTGGCAAGTACGTGTTTCCTTTTTAGACGTGGTGAATTTTGATGTTGCAGAAAATGTCAAGTATCAGCTGTTATTATCAATGGTAAATGGCAACCCCCTGTAGTTATCGATCAATCTTTTTATAATTTATAGGAGGAAATCAGAAAGCTAAAGCTTTCCAAATAAACTGAAAACTTGCAGCAGAAGCAATGATGATACCACCCGGTGGCGGGCGGTGACGATCGAAGAAATGCTTGTAACAGTACGGTACGAAACTCGGATCTCTAGATTCTCCTCTTCTTCTCCATCTTCTTTCTTCTCCCTCGGCTAATACCATCCGGTAGCAGGCGATGACGACCGATTTAGGATGGTAACAGGACGGAAACAATCCCAATCGACGGTACTGCCCGGTAGCTGGCGGTCCGCATACTGGTCTGCTAGCGGATCGGTACATACCGCCCGATACGGGCGGTATTATTCAAAATTAAAATCCTTAATTAAAATGATGAGAGATTGTCGCTTTATGTTAAATTACTTAAGAAGAGGTATTTAGTTCTCGATGTACATTTTCTGAGAGCAATTTAAAACCATTCAGCATGTTTTTGACTGTCTCATTACTGCTAGTATATAGGGTAAGTCACTGATTTACAAAAGTCAATAGGTGGTCTATGGCTCCAGAGCAGGATATTATATGGATCTATGAGCAACACAGAGGTAAATATTTGATATTTTGTTCAAGGAAAAGTTTATATCCAGCTGTAGTCTGTCAAATCTGGACCAAGAAATAGTAGGATCTTCAAGCAGCAATTACTGACAAGAAAATTCTAACAAAGGTGAATATGGAAGTGGTCAAGTTCTCTGTTGATTCTTCTGTTCAAGATAATTTTTTGGGACTGAGAATATTTGGAATGTTTGACCTTGCCTAATCAGGGTTATTGTATCTGAAAAAATTAGATAGGTAGCTGAGGATTGAGTTAGTTCAACTTTTAACTATCTAATACTATGAACTGTGTATCATTTGCATATGGAAAGCTGGATAGATAACTAAGCTGCAGTTGAATGAGGGGTGTATGGTTGATCTTAAAACATTGTCAGGATGTATTTTTCATATGTTTCTAGAATAAAATGTTTTAATTGATCGCCACTTGCTTATGTCCAAAGAAACCAGGTCTCCTCACTTAAACTTCATCATATATGGCAAAATATTAGTTTATAGCCATTTACTTATATAAGTAAAAATAGTCCTTTTATTTAATTCAAACTAGAAATTCTGACTTTTAACTCGCATTCAAGCACCACACAGATGATATTTTCTTGCAGCCCAAATCTTTCCTAAAATATACCAGATACCACTGTTATTCACATTAATGAATGGTCAGCAAAACAATGTACTCTAGGTCTCTGAATTTTTGAACTAAGGGGCCTATTGGCTAATACTTCCTTCCCAAACAATATTACACCTCAGTATTATAAACGAACATAGACATCCCTCATATCAGAGTTGAGTGCCTATGGAAGAATCAGAAACTATCTCACGGACTCAAAACTTAGAATTATCTGGATTAAATACAATCCAGTAAGTTTGTTTTAATTACTAGGACTCAGATTAAACTAACTTGACTTGAACCTAGATCTGACTAACTTTGTTCTATAACACCAATTCATTTCAGAAATATATCAGAATCGATTTTTCTGTAGATAATGTTGATAAATTATTGTTTCTATTTTTCATGGTGCTTGATGGAGGCTTTCTTTTCTCGAGTTGTATAGCTGACCAATTTATCTCTGTTTTCCTGCAGTGCTTCCATGATCCATATACTGGATCCAGATTTTGTTCAAAGAAAGAGGTACTTCAGCATCTAAAGTCTGGAAAATTTCGTGGTTCCCCAACCAAACAGACAAGGAGCATCACCACAAGATCTATGGAAAAACTTTGTGCATCAACCAATTTGGAAGAAGAAAACAAGACAAACTCTGCCAAAAATGTTTGCTCTCAGCAAACTCTCCTAAATTAACTGTGTTTCTTGTTCTGGCTACATCTTGTGCATTCAGTTAATAACTAATCAATTCCCATGAGATGAAAAATTCTGACTTTAGCTTGTGAATAAGTGCAGGATCAAATTGAGAATACTCCATATGAGTTGCCTCATGGCTGGATCAAAGAGATCAGATTAAGAAACTCTGGAACAAAAATAAAAAAGGATCCGGTACTCCACCATACAACATTGGCTTTTACTTCTATATTGTGATAACCTGTCATTTTATGAGAAGATGAAAATAATCTAATGTCTTTATTTTGAGGTAGACAGTAGATTCTTGGCATTGCACAATTTTGCACCTATGTTTCTACTTACAGCTACCTATAATATTACGCCTTTTTAATTGAGAACACTTCCTACGCAACTTGGAGTCAACTTCATCACATCTTCTTCAGAATTCAAAAAGTTTTCCTATTTTGTTGCCTGAGCATAATATTTATACAATTGAGGAAAGTGTTGCAGTTCCTTCAGTTGTTAATCGTTTCTCCAAAATGAGTCTGCTCCATGTTACCAAGTCTTCCTCTTTTAAGCTACATTCTTAACAAATAATCGGTGACCTTACATGGCTTCTGGCCAAATGTTTATTGACCAAATTGGGATAAACTCTATACTAAGTAATAGGGGCAAATATCAACTACCAAACATCTTAGACTAAGTATTTGAGACTGAATATATTTAGTGCAACTTTAGTGAATCCAAGAGTTGAAGGTATAGTTGAAGTAGATGGTAAAGAAATTTCAAGGTAAGTTTTTGATATCTTGGACTTAGATTCATGTTTCACTACCACATCCAATTTCTCCGGTGATTGGCATGGCACATGCTACCAACCTCGCATGGAAAATGTCGTGTCACTATGAGGTGTGAACAGCTAGAAAAGAAAACCAAGGAAGCCCACAATTTCCTGAAAGATACCCATGCATTGCTGGTTTTCCTTCCTTCCCTCCTTTTCTTCAGCATCTCCTTTCCAGAGCTGGCGGCATTGCATAGTGAGGCGTAGTCAGGCAAGAAGCGATAAATGTGATTCAATGATGTCAAGCTTTTGAAGCCCTATGCAAACCAGTTCAAGCTTCCCTTAATCAGGTCGCAGAATCTCATCAGCTCAGTTATTGAAACTTAGATCATTAATCTTGGACCTATATTTTAGTAGAAAGGTGAGATCTAAGGTTGAAATTCCTTTATTAATGCTAAAACAATAGTTGCAAGCCATAACCTAGAGGGTTATGGTCCTTGGTAGGACTAAAATACTTTTTGATGCTATTAATTGCAATACTGGATATTAGAATCTATTTCAAACCCTTTTCCTTATTTACTAGTTGTGCAGATTTCTGTTAATTGTAATAATCCTAGCCTGTGAAAAATTGACATGACCAAGCCATCTTTTTTCTTCAATATAATTTGTTGTAACCTTAGACTTTCTAATTTGGTATAGTTTCAGATTATCCAACTGTTATCAGCCATCTGAACATGTTGATTAGTCAGTTCGGCTCCATGTTTATATTAACAAGCCTATGTTGCTAGTGCATGCAAAATACCATTATGAATGTATGCACTTTAGAGAAAAGTTTTGAATATCATACCGTACTAGTGTACTGAGCCATGCTTGGTATGGTACAATATGGCATATCGAGCGATATGCCTAAACATAGCGAAACCAAAGTATAAAATCTCTCGATAAATTATACAACACATAAACATATTAAAGGCAGGAAAACATTACCGAATAGTACTGGTGCCATAGTTTAAAATCTCATTTTGACGACCCTAAACACACTAATAGAAGCAAAAGCCCATAGGAGCAGCATTCATCAAGCTTTAGCCATCCGATCCGAGCATAAACCCCAATGAAAACCCTAAAAAATCTAAAATAGCAAAGCAAAATCAGTCTTTACGCAAATAAACGAATCAAAGAACAACCGAACAAGCAGATCAGGTTAGAGAAGGCCGAAATCAAAGCGAAAACCGATCGAGAAACAATGAATGAACTCCCCAAGCAGTGGAAGGATATAGTCAGCAGAAGGAGCGGGGGCCATGACCGCCATGGTCGAATATGGAGGTGGTGGAGCTGAAGTAGTGGGCGATTCCGGAAACGATCGGATGGCCCAAACCCCAGAGAGGATGGCTGGGGGGAGGAGAACCCTAGAAGAGAGAGGAGGAAGAGGGCGCGCCACGGGAGCAAGGGAGAGAGGGTTTTGGTCTTAATGAGAAGTCAATAAAATAGCACCCCTGCTCTGCCTTCGCCACGAGACCCTAATTCTAACTCGATACGAGGCCAAATGGTTGATATCGCCTGATAGCGTGCGGTCCGCGTACCGATCTACTAGCGAACCAGTACATACTGCCGGCACCAGGCGATACGGTATTGCAAACGTTGCCCTAGAGAATAACAACTTTTATATTGTTACTGCATTTTCTGAGTTCAAACTAACTAGATTTATGGTTAATGGCGATATTGATTAGAGTTTTTAATTTTGAATAATACCACCCGGTACGGGCGGTACGTACTGGTCTGACAGCATACCAATACGCAGACCACCCACTATCGGGCGAAATGCTCAATATCATCCTGTATCGGATGATACCAGGGTATATCGGACGGATGGTAACGATTGAAATTTCAACCGTTATCGCTCGACATAGCTCGGTAACAGTCGATTTCGATCGTTACCGCTTGGCACAACTCAGTAATGGTCGATTTCGATCGTTACCGATCTGTAACAGTGCTCCAACGGTCAAAATGATCATTGGAGCCCTTTCTCATGGGTTTTTAAACTCATCTTCTCCCTGATTTTACTCTATTTCATTCTTATACTCTCTTAAACTATCTCAAACTCATTTTTTCTCTCATTTACACTCTCCTAAACTCTACAAAGCAACGATTTGTGAATTGATAATTAAAATAATTTTTCTGTAGATATTTCAATATTTGCAAAAGAGCAATCCGTAACGAACCGAAATACAAACCTTGCATAAGGCTATTCCTCGAAGTCTAAAAAAGATATATGATACTATTCTTACCTAATTTACATTGGTTTTGCTAAACTTATACTATTACTATATTTATTTATAACTTAAAAACTCTATCCTAACTTATACTATTACCTAATTTATTTTCAGGTATTTTCGGAGGATATTACGCCTAAATTAGGTGTACCGCTCAATACGCCCTAGCGTACCGCTTGGTACACAGCACCATACCGTACCGAGCAAAGCTCGAAACTCTGGTACGGTATGAAATTTCTATCTTTAATACTGATAATTGACTTTTCTCCGAGATCATAAAACTACTTTTCAAGCAAATCTATCAATTTGGGTAAGATTTGATCTATCTTTTTCTACCTTATAGCTGTGATGAACAGAATCTCTAATATGCATCACCAGATTATGGGAGTTTATTTGTGATGAACACCTAGAAGCAACATTTTGTTGTTAATGACTTCTTGTGGTAGCATCCTCTTATATTTGCTTCTACCATTAAAGTGCTTCATGAGTAGTGCATGTAAATTAAGCTGTTTTCCAAATCCTTCTGGGTTCCGGCTGTCTTTGCTATTACTTACTCTTGTCATGCCTTTTGTCTCATTCACATGTAGGAATTGACTCGAGTTTATGCAATAATATCACATCCTCCCTTATGCTGGCTGTCAAATTCATTGACGAGTTAATAATGGCATAAATCATGAGCCCACCTTGGTCCTTACATGAGTAGCTTGCCTACATAGCTTTGGTTTTGCCTCGATTGTTTAATTTTCCAGCTTGTTTTTCCTAAATTACTGTTGATTTTTCTGGTTTGTTTTTCATTTTTGTTATTTGTTCTCGGTGTCTCACTGTGAAGCTACTGTTGTTGGTGACTTGATTGCTACAGTTCTACTTTGACCCTGTCAGTGGTTATGAATTTCGCTCTCTAAAGGATGTTTTTCGCTATCTTGAAACTGGTGACATTCATAGCTGTGTAAACAAACCAAAGAAAAGAAGTATTGATGACATCCATTCCTTAGAAAAGGAATCACATGTAAGTGTATGTCTGGTCCATCTTTTGCAAAGTGCAACCTTATCTATGCCAACTTGTTCTATCTTTCTTGATTTATTCTTTTCTGTCTTCCTATCTGTATGGTGTGTTTGTATTATGTATACTTGAATTTTTATCCTTTTGCACTTATTTTTTGTGACAATGAAGTTAATGTTTATAACTGATAAAATTAGAAACTTTCTATATATGTCTGAACCTGGACATATTTAGTCAATTGTATGAGGATTCTTCATAGCAAGTGATTTAGCAGAGGAAGATAACAATATAACAATAATTTCAAATCATAAGGTTAACAACAGAATTTTTTTGTTCGTGGGCAATTTGACATATGCAAATCAACTAACAAGCAAAGTAGCTAATGATTGAGACAGATTCTAGAACATGAATTCCCAATTCAGTATATTTGGCAAGTAGAAGAAATGAGGTCCTTATATAAGGATACAAGTGTAGGTAGCTACCTGGTCCTCACATCAGAGATATAAGATTCATGACAGAAGTATTACTAGCAAACTGGTCCTAATATCTTTTGGGAACAGAAAGCTGACCAGCAAGGTGAACATTACCAGACTTAATAAGTGATTGGAGGAGGTTAATATTCATTTAGAATTGCTCAATGAGCTGGGAGTAGTGGTGTTCTATATAGATGTACAGTTTTAGAATGTTCTCTAAAATGGTAGCGCAAAGGAGGTGTTCAGGCTGATAATTCATTGCCAAACCACACAGGACCACAAGGGACCCATTTGAGATTTATGTAGGCAGCTGGAGGGCCCATGGAGGACTATAAGCAGCGTCAATCAGAGTTGTGAATTTTCGAATGTCATACGATAACAAAATTTAGTAGTGTATCTTCAACACAATTTGAAACTAGATCTGACTTAATATAAGCGATCCTACCTTGAGAAAGATTTGTGTGATCAAGAATCAGTGATCATTTTCTGAGATCGTTGATGGTTCTGCGAACCATGCAATTCCAGTTACTGCTACGTTGTGCTAGCTGAAGTGTATAGAGCTGTTCGCTAATTGGGAATGACAATAAGACAGGAACTAACTGTTGAGATAAGAGGAAAAACGCAAATATATTGAAATAAACTGCTAATCGATTTCATGAAATGGCATGATGTTTCATCAAACTTGATGGACCAGCACACCTCTATTTAGGATAGTTTCTTGCTCTTTTTTAAAAAAGATGGCCAAATACTTAGGACCTGATAAGATGTTCAGAAATTGCTTTTTGTGATTATAAGGTTAGATTGAAATAAAATAAAATACATTTTAGTTCAATGTTCTATAAGGATACAGATCTGTTCATTAAATCCGCAGACTGTTCTCTGCTATTGGTGACAAAAAGTTACATAAGGTACTTGTGGAGGAATCAGCTTAAGAAGACCCGAGAATAAAGGAATAAAGATTAGTGATAAAAATTGTAGATGAATTAAATTCATGAGTCAAGAAAGAGGGGCAGTGGGGCAAGACTTGAAATAAATATATCTGAAAATCAATTTAGTTTTATGTTTGAAAGATCAACAATAGGAACTAATTATTTATTAAGATAATTAATGAAAAATTATAGAGGAAAAAAATATTTGCATATGATTTTTATTGATTTAGAGAAAACCTAATAGAGTTCATAGAGATTTATTATGGTGGGTCTTACATAAGAAATGTGTGTTCATTATAGAGGATATCTATGATAGTGTAGCTATTGGTGTTAGAACTAGTAGCTATATCATGGATTTGAGTGTTGTTGGACAAACAAATGCTTTATGGATTTGAATATTGAGCATTTAAGAAACAATATATACAAAAAAATAAGTCTGTGTTGTTGTCTTGTTGAAATGTGAATATTGAAGCGGATGTGTAGAGCTACTAGGAAAGATAAGAAAAAATATATTTTTATTCGTGAACGATTAGGTATTGCTTCGATAGAGGATAAAATGAGATAAAATCATTTAAGATAATATGGATGTGAGTTCGGGAGACCTACAAAATACAGTAGTTAGAAGAGCTAAAATGATTACTATTAATGGTATGTTAGAGTAGAGGTAGAAGAAGAAGATTAAAAATACTTTAATAGAAACTATAAATAAAGATATAAATACTCTTAACAGAACATATGACTTTTTATCTCAATGGTGGCAAAAGAGTCATGTTGTCGATCCTAAATAGTTGGGATTTATGGCTTTGTTGTTGTTGTGACAAAAATCGGAAAGACAAAAGCAAAAACTTAGATAAGAGGGAAGGGATAGGAAGAAAAGAGTTATATAGCCTAGTTACTAAACATTGAACTAGTAGTAGCATATTAGAACAGCAACTTTATGATGTTTGAGTTTACTTGATGGAAGTATCCTAGTATCACAAAGATCAGTGTTGCCCTCAAATAGTTTCGAATGGAAGTGAGTGATAGATACTTGTTTTCTGGTGAGATATATCTCTTACACAAAAGTGGGGCACCAGACTTAGGAAAAGTTCCCAAGGAATCTTATGTGGTCTTACAAGGGATGATATCAATTCCAAAGCACCTTTTTCTAGTAGGCCAACTGCCTGCTTTTGTGCTTTTTTATCAGTCATTTTCCTCTTCCAGTAGGAGCTTCCATCCTGTGACTCTTACAGGCTATAGCTCATATCCTCCTTGTCTGATAACACCAACTGACATAAAAGAAGTTGTAGCTAATGACAAAATATTTGAGAACGAAAACTAGAAGGTTTGTCACTTAGGTGACTGGATATGGTTTTGAAGGCATATATGGATATTAGGGTTCTGGTACAAGGAGAGAGTATGATGATTTGGTGTGGCTTGGTTCATTTGGTAAATGTGGCTGATTTTTATCTTTGTAATGAAGTTTACTACAAATTAAGCAAGGTGATATGGATGGTCAAATTTGGTTTCCTTTTTGGTTGAGATAGAGGTGGACTTGGGATTTATTATTATTTTTTCTCCGTCTGTACAAGTGAGCATGATTTGCATAGAAGCAGAGCTGTTTTTTGTCTAGGTGCTGACAATTCTTATCAATAATTGAGGAAAATAGGTGGGTATGTGACCTATGGTTGGAGATTATCTGAAAGATTTTGCAGATGCCAACAAATACAGTGAAAGAGGATCATCGTGTGAAGAATATAAATGATCCCTTAATTGTATTGTTGGAAGTATATTCCATTACTTGCATTTAGGTATAATTTTTTTTAGATTTGACATTGTCATGCATCTTGAACCAAGGATTGACATCTTGTGCCGATCGGCAGTGCTGGTCTTTGGCCAGACTAGTACATATTGGTCTATACTGACATATCATGTGTTGGTATGTTGGAACATGCTGAAAGATCAAAAAATGCCCTAGAAATTCCCTGAAAATACCTAAAAATTAGGAAAAAATATCTAAATTTGGGTATTTTAATTAGAACCAAATGCAGTATTAGTTTAATTTCAATGAAAACATATCCAAATAAGAAAGGGATAGCAGATATATCTTTTTCTAACGTTGAGGAGCATCTTTGCGGCATGTTCCACATAATTAAAAAGCTGTGATTATGCCTAATTAGCCCTAATTTGGCACTATAAACATGTGATTCATCCTAATCATCATTAACTAGAAAGAATGGTGCTAATCATGTCATAAATTACCAAGTAGTAAGGGAATATGTACCTTTTAGTTAGAGTAATCGTCCTCCAAATGAATTGTTAGAATGCCTTAAACCTCTCAATTGAGCCTCTAATCACCAAATATCAGCTTTAATTGAGAACAAGAGTGAGGATTTATGAGAAAGAGAGAGTGATTGAGTGAGAAAGAGTGTTAGAAGATGTGAGAGTGAAAGAGGGGGAGGGAATGGGGTTAAATAGCCATTCAAATGGGTCCAATGTTCAAATTGACTGTTGGAACCAAATCACTCTGTGCCGTTGGTTGACTTTGGTCGAAATCAGACCATTACAGGTTGGTAACGATTAAATATCGACCATTTGTCCAGTACAGGGTGGTCTGTATTCCAATCATCTGACAGATTGGTACGTAGCGCCTGTACCATACCATTTTGGGCGGTACATCAAACCATGTCTTGAACTACTGTCATAATTTGCATGTTGTATCTATTGGCAAAAGGAAAAGAATATTGTATTCAAAATATAATCGAGTGCTGTTGTAGTAATTGTTTAGATTCATTGGATTTCGTAGGAGCCATTGTTATCTTATTTTTTTCCATCAACAAGATGGCAACCTCTAGTACAACTATCCGATGAATATTATTGACATCATACAAGTATCTACATGTTTTAGGAGCATGGATGAAAAGCTAGTCCAGTTGAAATATCCAAGAACCAGGGTGTAAAATAAGTAGCCAATATAGGAAGAACACAAATAACAATGTTCTCGTGCTCAAGGCAGAATGCATCAATCTGAGCACAAAATACTGCAGCACATATTTGAGGTACAAATACTAGGCACCCAACACCAAACAAGTCCATCACCAAGCACCACAAGTTAAATGGATCAATGAATGGAACTGGAAGCAAAACCATTTGAAATAACTAGACAAATATTTTGAGCAGAAGATGAGCTTGTATCAAATAAAAAGTAAGAATGATGAGTGCGAACACGATATAACATTTTAAGTTATGAACTGTATATTATTTTCAAAGTCAGGTTTTGAATTCCTTGGATGTTGAAATGGACAAAATACTTTAGTTGTCTTTAAACATCTGTGCTAGGTTTGTCAAATGCTCCAGTGGGGCAATCGAGGGCTTCAAGTGTATTTCTTTCAGCCATAGTTCCTATAATAATATATAGCTAAATTGAATAAAATTGAACAAGGATATCAAAGAAGTCACTGACCACTTGATATTGCCCTACTTTCCTCAAAATAGCTAGCGTGGTCATTATCTGCTCACTCCACCCATGTTGCCTTCATCTAGATAGAGTATATCATTTTAAAAGGATACTCATCTAGCGTTAACATATCTTACCAAATATTTTGTAACAATTTCTGGATGCCCAGTTGGGTTTTTATTTTGACTTATTTATTTATCTTAATCAAGTTCATCTTAGATACTAAGCAATTTTCTCCTGGAATATCCCTTTGCAGCCTCCTGCAGCCAAAAGGGTAGAACATAGAGGGACTACAGTAAAGAAATGCCTGTTTCCAGGTGTGAGAAATAACTCAGATGTGAAAATGGTGACTGAGGTCAACGGGTCTCCTGGAAAGTCACAATTCCATCCAGCTCGTGTCATAGAAACAAGTAAATCCATTAACTTCTTAATAGCATGAAGTTGGTAATGTTGCTTTCAGTAGTGAAGAGACTCGATCCATATTTTCTTTGTGAATATACCTGATAATGCAGTCAGACTTGTGTAAAGACTAGAAGCAGCAAAAGAGATTTGAAATTTGACCCTCTGATTCATGCTCTTGCAAAACAGGTGTGGGAGAAGCTGATACAGGTTCAATGACGTTAGTCAATATTAAGCACCATGATAGAGGTGATGTGGCAGAGATTAAAATAGACCCAGAGCTCAATTCAGTGCAGCAAGAACTCAAAGTTTCAGGAGAAGTGTTGGAACCAGGTAAAGAAAGTGTCAAGCCAGCAATAGAAGATCAATCAACCATTTTTAGCTCTCATCTCTCTGGTTCACAAAATGTTACATCATATGGTCCTTCACTGGGAAAGCAGCTGAATGAATCGAACAAGTTACAACATGTGTCGGGCTTGCCAGCTTTGGAAGGCAATTTGTTGGAGGGAAAAAACTTGGTTTTAAAGGAAAAGGAGCAAATGGATTTCAAGAAGCCAAGAAGGAAAAGTGTGAATGGATCAAGAAAAAAACAGGGTATGAGAATAATCACAATGCCACACCGAGCATCTCCAAGATTGGCTGCACTTAGAGCTAATACGTTGGTGAATTCTGCACTTGTTGAAGAGTTTTATGGGACCGAGGCACACCAAGTGAATTCATCGAGTCAGGATCATGGTACAAAATACACACCCGTGGTTGACCAACAAGAAATGTTACCTGGGGTGGACTTTGAACATTCTAAGAAGCTTGAAAGCAAGGATTTTCTTGGAGAAGAAGCTGCTTTGGAAAATCTCGCTGGATTAGAAGAAAAGAGCAAAGATAAACCAGTGTCACAACTCACATCACCATTTGGAGATTCGTGGCCAGACCCATGCATAGAATTTGCTTTCAGGACACTCATCGGCGATATTCCGGTCTCGGATAATACTGTAGTATTCCAAGACTATCCCCAACAGCAGCAAATGAGCTCAGCTATAAGCCAATCCCCGAGAAGCTCGGATGCATTAACTCTGGGTAGTAGTGGAACCGTCAACCAAACCATGCATCTCGGCCGGTTGGAGCCACCGAATAAGAATAATCATGTGTTATCCTTTGGAGACATCACAAGGCCTTGCTTTTTGGAAAAAAGCCTGCAGTCCACAAAGAAGCTGGAGGTAAGTCATCAGAGGTCAGAACTGAATCCATAGCTTATACAACACAAGATGGAGCTAAACCATGTGAAATAATGACATGGCGTAAATATTCTTTTGGACTTTGACCTTCTTGGTGCCTTCTGAGGCAATGGATTCCCCTCAAATACTGGTGATAAGACTCTCCCATTAAACCCTTGTGGTTTAGGTTGTGTGGTAATTGACAGAAGGGGTTCAATGTGTTTAAAACAAGATAAACCCTGTTTTGATCTGCACTCTTATCTTTTGAAAACTTGGCCTGTAAATGGTGATATCTGGTATCAAGTAATTTGGTACAGCAACCAGCTCATTCATTGTGTTGTTTTAGGTTCTCCTCAAGTAGATTCCCTAAAAATTTTGCTGCTTGTAAGGGCAATTGGACTCGCACAGCTGCTCTTTTAACTGACTCTTTAGGTTGAATTTTGTAAATCTTTAGGTCTATAGAACAATGGGAGCCTTTGTTCTGCCTGGTGAAGAACTCATAGGCTAAATTATGTCAGAACTCATGACCCATTTGACCATTTATTTGCATGTTTTTCACTCTGGCGTTTATTTTTTTTGTTAGATTTATGCTTATGAGTTGTGACCAAAAATTTTATATTGGTTGTTAATGGTCTAATGTGACCATTCACATGCATCCTATTTATTCATCATTATTAATGTCCTCTTCTATTACTTGAAATCATCACTTTTTCCTGTCATATTGATTGGTCTGATTTAGTTCTAATGACCACCGGCTTCATGTTTCATCATCCACCGGACGAACAATTCAAGCAACTACATGGATCCAACTAGATTTTAGATTTAATATGACCCAAGCCGAAGAATAATTATATGGGTTCAAACCTTTTCATAAGGATACCAAAAGAAAGACTTGGAGGTGGATGGATGGTGGTGCCTAATATATATTATATAAAATTTTAGCACATATTTGATATTGGATTATTTTAGGATATAATTGATCACCTCAATTCTCATTTTTGTTTTGGTAAATTGTAAGCATATAGGTTTATAGGATAAGATTTTGAATTCTTAATTTCAGATAAATGTGTTAGGCATGCTTTGATTCATATATCGTCATTAAACTAATGTGTTGGGATTTACATACATCACTGAGATCCCAACATGGCTCATATATAATAAGCAATTTAAAAGTCATCCAGAAAACAACATTTTTCTTTTCAGAAATTAATTCTTCACTGTACTTTTTTTTTTTTTTCTTGGTGTGTGGACTGCACGAGAATTATGTTTTCCTGTTCATTGTGATCATTTCCATCACTGGGCTCTCCCATAACCCGCCATCTGTATTCCTCTTCTTCGTTTCAAGGTTCTGATGAAGTCCTAAGTCTTACAAATTGGCTTCTCTCCTTCGAATTAGGACACAGTTTTTGCCCTCGCATTGCAAGAAGGGGGTGTGAGCTGTCGGTGAGGAGGGGGGGAAGCTCGCCTGAGCTCGTCGAAGCGATGGATGTCGAAGTTCCTGGCCTTCATCAGGCGTTTCTGCCGGGCGGCGAAGCGTGTGGCGAAGAAGCCCTCGAAGGAGGGCTCCCTGGCGGTCCTCAGGAAGAAGGCGTAGCCGGCCATGAAGTAGATGGAGGTGATGTAGAAGCAGATCGGCTCCATGACGTCCCAGGAGAGCTCCCAGAAGGTCAACCGCATGAACGCCGCCGTCTGCGCCGCCAACAGCCCCAGCCCGCAACACAGCTCCCGTCTCACGTGCGCCACCGCGCTCCGATCGATCTCCGCCTTCGTCGCCTCCATCTCCCTGAGCTCTTCTCTCTCCGCGTCGCTCCAGCGGGCCAGTGATGGCGCGATGACGGTCTCGATCGCTTTGGCCACCTGCAGAAGACACGGAAGGTAGAAAAAGATGTACTCACTCTGGTGGCAGTCCATTTGTCAACGCTTTCAGATCGAACGAGAACAAAATCCTAAACCAAATTGCAGCAACAAGTTCGGAAGGAAAAAAAAGGAGCAATCTTTGATTGCCAAACCAACGAATAATTAGAGATCTATCTCAGCCTTGGACAATCAAATGGTTCAAGTTGCATCTATAAATAATGGGATACCATCACAAGACCTCTCTTTTGATCGACACCTTCCAAGAATTGAGATCTTATAGTCCAGTTTCTCAAATTCGTATTGTTTTCTTGGAAAATAAGATCAAAAGATTCCATTTTTAATGCTGTTAGTACGTAATTTCCGCAAGAGTATGGGGGGAAGCATGAATCATATTGTTAGGGTCTTCGTCTCCGGCCAAAAGTTACCATATCAAACACGGGTCGAGTCTCTTGTTATGACCTCTTCCTTCAGTTCCTGCTGAAAGAGAACATAGAAACACCCGGAGAAAAATGGAATCAGACCGCAATCCTGTCTCAATGTCACTAAACTTTGCAACCTCCGAATTGAAACTAATCCGCTTTAAATCTTCAAAGAAAGCATTGGATCAAGCAAGCAGAGAGAAGAAACTGTGAACCGTACCTCTTCCGGCCGTAGAAAGACCACATCGCCCCACACGACCACGGCTCCAGACTCATCCAGCGATCGGGCGACCTCCATGCCCCGGTCGCCGCCCGACGCCTCGCAGCAGATCCGGACGAACTCCGCGTGGGAGACGCATCTCTTCCCCGTAGCCCTCAGCCTCGCCCTCGCAGCATCCACCCTCGCCACCGGCGGGCGCTTCTCCTCCTCTTCCTCTTCCTCCTGCTCCGCTGCCGCGGGGATCGGTGCCGACGGCGGAAGGAGCAGGTCGAGGCGGATCCGGTCCGGGCTGAGGCCGCAGATCCGCTCGAGCAGCCGGTCACCGAGGGGGAGCGCGTGGCGGTCGGGCGGCAGGGCGGGGTGGAAAATGGGCCGCTTCTGGACGAAGGAAGAGAGGAAGCGCCGGAGGAGCCCGTGCTCGTCGCGGGAGCCAGAGTTGAGGAGGTGGCTGCTGGCCCGAGAGGCGGAGGAGGAGGTGGCGGGGGAACCGACCCTGGTGATCTGCCACAATCGATGAGCTAGGGTTTTACGGAATCCCGCCATATCGAAGACAGACAAAAAGGGAGCGGGAAAAGAAGAACGATGAGTTGGGGTAAGGAGGCGGAACGGCGAAATATATAGATGGTGGGTAGCAGGGATGAACGACTCGAAAGCGCGAGCGAACGTATCGATGCGGGGTATCATATCGCGATTATTCCTCGGGAGTCAGAGCATATGCTAAGACTAGCAGTAACGGACGGAGATGTGCAGTTAGCCTTAGCTTTGAGATGCGTATCGGGTGATCCTTTCTCCACTGCCCGTGCCGCTGGCATTCGGTTTTCGACTCCTAATTTAACACTAATTTGATGCAATCGTTGTTTAGTAGCGTACAATCAAAAGAACCCGACAGGTCGGCATATCTAATTTTTACTCCGATCGCACAGGATTTACCACACAACCTCTGAGCCTTCACACAATTGATGGAGTAAGCGCCACGTGGCAAACCGAGATGAGGATGGCGACGGGGCAAGAAGGTTTTTAGGAGGTGACGTCACCTCTGTCATTTCCGGCGGAGGCTGATGGGGAGGGGGCGGGGGCGGCAGGTGTGCGACGGGAGAGGCGTATGGAACAGCGACCGTCCGCTGCGCGAGAGCGGCTTGTGCGGCTTCCGGTCACGCAACCACGTCCCCCGCGCCCCGCGGAGACCGTGACGGCGTTTGCGTGTCCATGATTCCGGGGGCCCGAAACATGGAGGCACGTCAGCTCGCTCATGTGATGTTCCCGGTAGTGTCGTTGTACAGCTCCTCGTTCGTCGGGCCAAACGACGGGAGATTCAACCGGAAACAATAAATAATGGTATGGTCTCGTGTTAAAAACTCGGTCAGGAACCAAGCATGGATAACAAATGATGGCATGACTCGTATTAGAAATTAGATCGGGAATACAATGTGGGCGTTAAATTAAATTCAATTAAATTTTGATGATAATTATCGATCAATAAAAAATAATTATAATATTTAAAATAATAATAATATTGATGGAAAAGACTTTCCTATTTATATATCGTTTTGTTATAGACTTAGTTAGTTTTACCTAAGTCATATAATATTTTTATGATTCTTTAACAAAATAAAAAAAAGATAGGTTAGATACATTATTTTACTCATGATCCACAAGCAGCTATTTCAGCAATAAACTTCGTAAGTTCTGAACGATCACGCGACTAAGAATCCAAGGTAGTTCATCATAGTCAAAAGTCACCATAAGTACTCACATAATATTACTATAGAATAAGATAGTGAACCAGCTCTAGACACTATCCCAAAGGACGATCCAACCATGTGTACCCCAGTAACTCTAATGTGCTATGCTGGTTAACACTCCACACTATTGAGAAATATAGGGCGACATCACATGTGCAGCAGAAGAATAAAAAATAAAAATCTTAGATTTTCACAGAAATATTTTCTTATCATCGTGCAAAAATTAGTGTGCAAAAATCTGCGAAATCTAAAAATCACGCGTGTTAAGGGATGTGTCCTCTTCTCTAGCAGTGATCCACATGACAAGGATTACGAAGAAGCTCCTCAAATCGCTGTTCAAATCTCCTCATTATGTGCACCACTCAATCAAGAAAGGGTCGACCCTTCTTGTTGTCCACAAGTCGTAAATAGGGGTTGTTGGCTGAGGAGGAGAGGGAGAAAGGAGAATAGGAGGTGGCAACCAAAAGAGGTCTAGTCTATAACCCTTTGGTTCCCTCCTATTTATATAGCCCCCCTATCAACTTAACCATAATAGATCATATCCTATTGGGTACTAGATCTCCATCTAACCACACCCAAGCCTATTAGATTAATGGGTCTCTACCCAATAATCTCTCATTAGCTCTTATTGAATCTCATCCGTAGGATCTAATAATTCAAGGGCTTATTGGATGCCCAATAAGATATAAGCTCCAACGGATATCTTATATCCGAACATCTACTCAGCGCAACACCTACCATGTGTGTGTGACCCTCTAGGCCTAATATTAAGATGGTCGTGAGTCATACCTATCAGAACTTCTTCTAGCTCAATGAATTATTATCTTCATAATAATTCACTCAACTCATCGACTACGGACATACTATGTCACTATATCGCAATCCCTAAATGATACAAGAGAATCCAATCCATTAAACCTATTTGTCTTCAATTACTATGTATCTATAGTCTCTATTCATCTAATATCCTAGAGACTGTATACCGAACATGGTGTTATCCGGCTCATACAGTTTTTACTCAAGTCTTATCCTAATCAGATTCTCCCGAAAAACTCTTTCTCTCTCAATCCAAATGACACTCGCTAAGGATTTGT